CCGTGCTGGCCCGAGGCGGCGGCCGCTGCTCTCCGCCGGGTTACGCGTCCCTGCGGAGGCAGGAATGGCGGCGCAGCCCTTCCCTTTCGTCCTTCATCTGCTGTTGTCCTGCACATTCCTGTCGTCCGGTCCCTCTTTCAGTGCTACTCGTGCTCCCCTCCCCCGTATGCTGCTTAGTCCTCTCTTTTCTGTTTCCCTAACTTACTGTTATTTAAGTCGTTATTTGACGTTTCGCTGATTTCCCTGGCTAGCAGCCCTGGGTTCTCTTACCCTCCTTGCTGAGAAGTGACCCGTAGCACTGGTATTTTCACTCTGATGTGCTCAAAAAAAGATTGAGGTGGGTGAGCGTAAGGTTATGTTCAGTAAGCTAACTTCAGTGTCGGCTGTATCATCAAAAGTATTTTCCCCTCTTTGTCTGCAGGGAGGGATGCAGGCAGGAACGCCGCTCTCCTAACGTAACACTAATTTTAAGTGTAAGGTTACAGTGAGCTGGGGTGGGGAGGCGTACGCTGTCTTCAGGTGCTTGAGGAACAGATGCTGAGCTAAATGTGGTTCAGTTACAGAGAAGGCTAAAATTATGACCTGTGGGAATATTTCCTTGTAGGCTAGGCTCTGCAGAATTAGGACTAAAGTCTGCCTGGCACCATCTTTTGGGAGATGTCTACAAAATGAGCTCTGGACAAGGCCGTGGAAAAGGGAAGATGCTCGTCCACCCAGACTTTTTCGTACATGGAAGTCACAAAACTGGCTAGTTAATGATGTTACTAATTATCTTGGGAGACAGCGGGAGTCACCGGTGCATCTGTGCTGTTCAGCCTCTGCTGCTGCGGCCCAACAAAAGGCCGTGGATGAGAAAAGAGAAGAGTTTAAGCTGGTCTACAGGTTTCCAGGGATTAAGTACTGCAGGTTGCTGTCCCGGCTGAAGCTATTACAGACTGCCACCACCCTGGCCATGCTGCCTCCCACCTGCTACCTCTACCTGCAAGACCAGGTTTCTCAGAAGGTCTTCTTGTATACGACTGGCATCGCGGTCTTTGCTGGTGCAATGTTGTACAGTATGAGCTACTTTTTCAGACGAATTATTGGATTAATCTACTTAAATGAAAGCGGCCGTACTGTCAAAGTGGCCCATTTGACGTTCTGGGGAAGACGGAATGACATTTACTGCCCCATAGAAACAGTGGTGACTTTGGATGAAGCTGGAGATAGCAAGGGGGAGCTGCTTCTCCAGTTCAAACGGTATAACAGTACAGATATTTTATATTTTACAGTTAAGTATGGCCAGATTGTAGACAGACAGAAGTTTACTCAAATATTTGGAGAACTGGAGTGATACAACAGCTAATTTCCAGTGGTTTTCCTTGTTGTGTGTTCATTGTGCTTATTCTTCTGTGAATTTTAATCAGTTTACCAAGCTGATGTATGCCTGTCGTTTTCCTGTGCAAAGCCTGCTGGTAAGTGCACTCAGTGCAGAAAGTAGATATGGTGAAGAACAGTGTGCCCTGGATTAAATGTCGGCAGCTTGTTCAGGGTGTGAGCAGCATCTCCTCCATGTTGGGCGTGGTGGTGTGCACCGTGCGCTGTCACCAGCAGTCTGAGTCGCCCATTGTCAACGTGCTGTAGGAGGCAGAGTTGCTGATGTTGGCTGCCCCCTCAGATTGTTTTTAAACAGGAAGAACTCTTGAAGCAAACTGTGGTAACTCTGCCGGAGCATCCTCACTTTAAATTCAGATTTTTTAAGCACATTTTAGGTTAACTGGGAAGCCTCTTGAAATTTAAACTGCTCTCATACGTACATATGATCAGTAGTGCCGGATGTCAGAGATACACATGCTTGTGCATTAACAAAATGGAGGTAACTGGGAAGAGGGGTATAATGCTGTGCAAGGTGTGGGGGGTCTCTTGGCAAGGTCTTCCAGGATGTGAACACAACTGGGCAAAACAAGGGTGCACGTTGCAAGACACACTGACAGTTCAGCTACAAGGGCAAGTTAAAGACTGGGACAGTGTGTCAGGAGCCTCTCATAGAAATTACTTTCCAACTGGAATAAAGGAAAAACATACCTGAACTGTGATGCTGCGAATTACAGGGGCAGGCTGTGATCCTTTGTTCAGCCTGGATCCTAATGATCATCCCAGAATTTGGAACTACTTGTCCTTCTTGGCATATATTCATTTTTGTGTTTGCTTTGTGTATGAATGACATTTAATCAGTGCTGTAACACTCAAGCTGCAAAAACTTCGGTAAATGCTACCGAAATTATCTTGAACTCTGTGAATTAAGCAGTGTTCTATGAGGGATTACCATATAGCTTGGGAAACAAGTCGTCTGTAGCCCTTGATGTGGTCACTGATTTGGGGCTATTTCACCATCCAGTACACTTTCCACTCCCTACTCCCCCAGTCTGGGTTTTCCTGAAATGAAAAGAAAGAAGGTAGGACACCTAGAAGCTATGCTGAATTCAGGCTGAAAATACCTGTACTTTGTGTTCTGCTGAGCTTGCAGGGTGTCTGTGCAGGACAGTGGTCTTAACCTATGGTGTTAGTGTGATTCCTCTTTTTCCAGCCCCAAAACCTCAGTAGGAATGAGGAGCAGGACTTAAACCTGAGAAAGAGTCAAACCTGATCACTTGTAACATGTAAAACTTTTTTGCGTTGTCAGAAGCAAGTTAACTCCTTACACTGCTCTTCTGGCTGTTATTTCACTTGAAGCAATGGCAAATAAACTGACCCTCGCCAAGCAGAACGTGGAATGTTCTTTCCCTGTTTCTTCCTTGCATGTACTGAAACCTCTCTCTCATTGGAGCAGCAGATGCAGGTAAGTAAAATTGCCATTTAAGTGCATAGGGTAACCTTGACTTACTATTTATTCGTGTTGAACTTTTCCTAATGGAGGCTCCGTGACTTTAAATTTTGGCTGATGCTGTGTGGTAGAGCAGTATCAAAAGGAAAAGAGAAACATTCCTTGGCTTAAACCCCATGGCAGCAAAATACGGTGGACTGTATGTACACAGCGTGGTTCTTGGAGGCTTAGCTTCATAAGAATGTATTTAATATGCACTAATGATTCAGTTTAGGTATGTACTGGATGTCAAATAAAAAGCCCTAGAGAAGTTCAATTATAAATATTTTATTTAAGAATATTGATTACATATGAGATGTCATTTGTTATGGATCGGTGTACAGCTACTAGTTACACCATGAAGGGTAGTTAAGTATTTGTTTAAACATTTATTTGGCACTGTCCACAGTATGCTGTAAACAATATTAACTTTATATGCTTCAGCTGCAGTGCTTTCTATGTATTCTCTAACACGATCTCATCAACATGTTGTACACAATTATACAGTTACTGAGTGTCAGTAAAAATTATAAAAACACCTAGAGTATTCATAATAAAAGTGAAGATGTGGTAAGACTTCAAATTACTGGACCTTTGCTTCTGTAGAGGTACGAGACTTGCTAGAGACATTTACTAAAACTACTGCACTGATATGTTGAACAAACTAATTCCCAAAATGCCGTTAAATACAGTTCTCGGTTTGACTTTCCTCTTGCCAATAATATGCTTACGAGGACAGCGGCGACCATGGGGTTTTGCTGAACGCCAGTTCATCAGTCCTTCCCCCAGATTTCTACAACCTCTGTTCAAAAAACTGCTCAGGTTCTGAGCAGCTGGTACCAGAATTCTGGTTTCTGCAGAGAGGTTTACAGAAATCCCATTATTTTTAAGCTAGCAGACGTGAGTGTACTTGAGTTTCCCAATATCAGCACTCAAAAAATAAAATGTGAAAACCATGATTAACACTTCCCAAAGCAGGTAAGAAACCTTCCATGTTTTGGTAGCTGTATTAAACCTGCAAGGCTTTTAGCTGCTCTGTCTCTTATTATGTACTTAAAAATTGTGGTCAGATCCCAACAGGGCATCCATAAAGCCCACTGTGGTCCCTGGTTTTTGGTGCACAAGAGAAAGTTAAACTTAGTAAGCAAAATCCAGGTACTTGCTAGCCAAGAAAAAAAGGCACCAGACCTGGTTCAAATCAGCCTTAAGCAAACAGCAAAGAGTACATAGTAAAGAGATGTCCAAAACAATTCTCTGAAGAGAAACAAATTAATGAACCGTTGACACTTTTTGATGCTGTGGCTTTCTAGTTCTCTGAAGTATCAATGACTTAGAATTAACTATTAGAACAAAAATAGAATTACTTTGCATTATAAATGTGCAATTAGGACTAGGCCTTCGGTGTAGTGGCTCTGATGTCAGGTAATGGCTAAGGTCAAGCAATTCTGCTGTAGTTCTACAAAATACCTCAGGCATTCATGGAGAACTTGGAATAGATAAATTGATGGCTATTCTGTGTTATGGGCAAATGGTAAAATAATCTCAAATCATGCTAGACTGATGACAGAGGTGGAAATAATGTGCTTCACATGATTCCCTAAGCTTTGTCAGATTACATACTGGAGGGTATAGCATTCTCTACGCAAGTCTGATTGTAAGAGAAGGCAAAAGTTTTAAAATCCAGGATGAGGAAAACAAGTACAAGGACTTCAGTTCCACTTACAGCGCTGCACATGCGGCTGAGTGCATTAGTGCCCCCGAAGCAGTATGTGTAGGCTGGGCACAGAGCAGCTGATGGCATCCTGATCCAGTTGGTGTGACAGACGCCTGTACTCTATTACTCTGTAAAATACTGGGCTTGGCAGTGGTGTAAAGCAGAGCTTTCCTTGAAACCCCTATTCTATTCCAGCTACCATTAGAGAATGGCACTTCCTGTGTGGCAGGCATGTGGCTTTGAGTGTTACGCCATACTTGTTGCTGCTTCTGGATGCAAATCTACTGGGATTACCTGCAAAAACGGGCTGTACCAGGTCATATTTCGACAATCAAATAGTCAGGGCCATGACTGTAGACAGGACTCTGCAATTAATATGACCCAAGCCGGAAGATGGAGGGCCACAGCTTCTACAGCTGTGGGACAGCTGCACGTACCTGCCAGCGCCCCGTACCAATGCTCTGCCTGGGTCGAGTTTGCGTGGAGCAGCGTGCCTTGGGCAGGACTACAGACAGAACACAAACCTCAGTTTATGACTTTACACTTATCTTGTAAGTAGAGAAGACATGAATTAATGCAAACTAATTTCATAATCAGCTGTTCAGTGCAAGGGAACTGCTTTTTACTTGAAGTTTGCTAAGATGTCACTGAAAATGTTCAGGAAGAGGTGTGCGTGATGATCCTTGAAGATCAGCGTTGGACGAAAACGAATCGATCTGTCGCCGCAGCCTCCCAGCACAACACCTAAAATGAGAACAGAATAGGTCCTCTAATCATTTCCCAAATATCCAGAAAACGCAGGTCTGTGGCTGAGGTTCACCTCACTGTGGGGGCCCACAGCAGCTCCCCAAGTCACTGCTCGCCACGCGGTGGTAACAGCACGTCATCAGCAGTGCAAAGGGGCCTTGAGCTTCACAGCAGCTCAGAAGAACACTGTAGGTGCCTGTAGCTGCTCTGCAAAACACAGGATGTTTGGACTAATCCCAACATCAGTGGAAAGACCACCCAGCACAGAGCTCAAACAGTATCTGAGACTGCAAAGCTGCAATACTCTACTGGTACGTACCTCAGGGCCAGAATGAGCGACAGTAGGTTTCTTTGCCATTTTTTTTTTTTTTAAACTACTACATTTTTAATTACAAAAAGTTAAAATAGCTCAGTGCTGGCAAACTTCTTTCTGCAGTACTTAACATGCATGGTGGTTTTTTTACCCTCAGATCAGTTAGTTCTTTGAAGTGTTTGTGGGCAATGAAAATCCATACCATTGAGCTGAGCTTACCTTGCCTCTAAGCATAGCCTGCGTTTACCATGAAACAAATGGCTTGCCTTCACTCCCTTCTGGCTTAGTTTCCAAGAACAATCATCATCAGTGTCTTTTACACTCTAAAATTTTGGTTTCACAAGCATTTGGGTGCATCACGCCTGCTTCTTTCAAGAGATATGAGTAACAGCAAAAACTGACAGCAGCAAAACCAGGGGCCCCCCAGTTAAATTCTGAGAGAAATGTTAGGCTTCAGATCATGAGGTTCCCCTCATACCTAGGCTGGCCTACAGCTGCATGAGAGTTCTGTGGTAAAAGAGGGATGCAGCTATAGATCCGTGCCCATTTTAGGCAACTCATTATTATTTCATTATTGGGCGTTCTACAAAATTCATAGTTTTTTTCCCCCTGTGTTTTCCTGAGTGACAGTTACATTAACTTCTCATTTTCCTGATCTGGTTCTAGGAGTAAGCCATGCCTAGGTGCACCTAAGGTCACTGCAGAGGAAAGTGATGCCACACAAACTCATGCCCTACATAGATCTCTTGCAGTAATATTAGCCCTAGAGAGAACAGTAAACAGACACACATGCAACAGCGTGGTCTGATGCCTCTGAAAATACTTGTATTTTCAGAGAAGTCTAAATACAGCTTTGTTCATCATTTCACTTCTGTCCTCCAATACCATAGTACACATACACCATATGGAAAAGGAAAATTTAAAGCGTTACACGTGCTGCTGTTTGTCATTTGAAGCTAATCCACACATAAACTTTCTTACCTTTGTTTCTGGCTATTGTAATTAGCTTGTTTCTAGTTGCATCATTTGGAGTGTCAAACGAACAGAACGTGCCTCGTCCTCTCACTCTGCTGATAAGATGGGGGTAACGAGCCTGCAACGAGAGGTGAGAAAGTATGCATGGCAGCTGCTGCAACAGAGGGCTCCTGCTGGCATGCATGGCTCTGCCAGGCGTTCGGCCACACAGAATCCTTGCTGCCTCCCTCCTCCGCTCTGGTGGAGTGCAGCTTTTGCATGGTCTGCGTTTCTCACGTAACCTTGTGTCTTGTTCCCGCCTTTCTGATGGTGGTCTGAGCAGCCGTAGACTGCAGAGCCCAACAGCAGGCAGATTCCCTCCTCACAAAGCTGATAAACATCTGGGCAGGAGTGAGAATGAACCTGCAGCCCTCAAGTAAAGTCTTAATTGGAGCTTCCTGAAGCGAGTGCAAAGCACTGTGTGTTCAAAATTCACTCCAGGAAAACCTGAGCATAAACAAACTGGAATGGGGCTAGAATCCAGCTCATTCTTAGGCAGCACTAAGATGCTGGCTCGTATTATCTGCTTCACATATTATTGGTTACAATCCACACCTTTTTTAAGGGTAACCTTTTCTATATAGTACCAGTTGTATTCTGGCCCTCCAAAGTAGGAAGATAATTTTTTTGTGTTCCTCTGCCTGCTGTGCCTTGGTTGTGGAGAAAGCAGAGACTGTTATTTGGGCTTATCCTTGTCTAGTCCCCAGCTGGAGTTCCTCAGTCCAAGCGTTTAAGCTGAATTAGGTCAGATCCTACCCGATCAGCAAATTTCTCCTTCTTGTCTATAATCCTTCCAGATGTTTACCTGTAAATCCAGCAGCCCAGTCAGTAGTGCTTTCCCAGCGTGGGTTGCATTGTTTAGAAGGTCTTCTCTCTTAATAACCTTAATGACTTCAGCAAGCATAAGGTTCTTGGATGGATCTCCAAGCCAGGTATTGAAAATCCGATAGGGCTGGGAAAGGGTGGAGAGAGAATTGTGGAACATGTTAACAGGCAAATCACCATAACAAAGAAAAGCAAGCCATCAAACTGGTCATGCAAACATCTGGTGTATGAAAAAGCACACACTAATCTCAGCAACCCCCTTTTTTTTGTTGTAAGAGCAAACTACAGCTGCCCCACTGAGCAGAAACAACTGGCAACTACTTCATGCTGCAAATGTAGTGCATCCTGTCATGCTGCTCTGACAGCTCACTGAAACATGGCTACAGATGACATGGAAATCAGCATCGGCTATATGGGTTTTTCCATTCACATTTTATCTTCTCCTCCCCCCCCCCCCCCCTTTTCTTTTTTTTTCATTTATTGCATCTAAATGCCATTAATGCAAAGAAGAAATCTTGCTGACACTGACAGAATCCGTAATGCTGACATACAAGCTCTGAATACCAAGTTGCCCTACAGAAAAAGTGTCAGTTTGTGGTTGTATTTTGTACTGAAGGTTCATGAGGCTAAACCGAGTTCTCCACTCCCTCCCACCACCTTTATGACCTTTGTGA